CCCTGAGTCCCCTCAGGGAAAAGGGCGGCCTACAAATATTAATAAAATCTCAAAAAAAAAATCTCAAACTCACAGCCAACGTGCCGGATCTGGCCTATGGGATGCTTAGATCTGGCCCGCAGGGCTGCCCTGGAAACAACAAAGAACCAGGCTGCAGTGGCTCTGCCAGCAAAAACGGGGTCCCAAACTCTGTTTTCAGCTGTGATGGCCTCCTGCAACCCTCTGCCAGCAAAAACAGAGATTGGGAGCCTATTTTCGCTGGCAGAGCACTCGAGCCACCACAGGCACCCCTGACACGAGTGAAATCAAGACGGCCACACCCACCCTGCCCACACACCCCCTGCCCCCCAAAGGGTCAAACACAACCCTGATGCAGCCTTCAATGAAATTGAATTTGACACCCCTGCTATAGAATATACTACATAAGTGAATTTATTCCCAAGTGCATCGGTCAAAAAACAAGATATTTCACATATCACATTAGATGCCACAAAGCTTCCGTTTCCATAAGAGTTTAGGCTTTAGTGACATAGTATATTGATAATATAAAGTCCAATACTGACTGCTATGCAAGTCAAATTTAAATAAATATAACAAATTTGGTAAATAAACAAGCCAACAAACTTTTTAAAGGCATACTTAATTGGCATGGGACTCTGCCATTAAATTATATATAGCTTATATACATTATTGACAAATTGATGAGTGGACACATACCTGTCTATGTTTCTTATTATGCATATGTGTGAAGAAATCAAACATAGTTCCACAGGTAGTATTGCAATCTTTACACCAATGGTTCCCTGTATCATAGTAGTCATAAACACTGGTCTCTTGGGTTGGCTGTGAAGAAGATTCCATAGACTTTGGACTCTTTCCCTTGAATCTGTCACTATTAGTTCTTGATTCCTACATTAAAGAAAACATCTATAAGGTATATAATAAGAGAGTTCCTTAAAACCAGCCTTTAATAAATATTATGCACGTGTGTGTGCGCGCACACACACACACACACACACATATACACACACTTTGTTTCTATGTGTGTTTAAGAGCTAGAGAGACCAATTGCAATATAGATCACATACTGGTCAAGCCAATGAAAATTTCATTGAGCTGGAATTATCTCTTTCTCAGGCCTAGGCAATGGCAAAACCATTTCTGCAATGTTACAAACAAATCTGCAGGGAATTGTCCAGGCAGTCAACATGGACTCAAAGGCACAGCATGTGTGCGCGCACACACACACATACACTCTTAAAAATAGATGGCAAAGAATGCCCTTTCTTTCATACAGGCTATAATAAGTTAGCATCAGTTCCTAGCATTTACCTTGATTAGATCAGACGTTTTCTCCTGAGTCCTTGCATTTTCTGAAGAGTCTTTACTTTCTGAAGATAGTTTCCGGGATTTCTCAAAAGTATTAATCCCCAAGATCTGGGCTACCTTGTCAAGTTCAGATTGTTTCTTCTCTGCAGCATCGGCATTCATCTTCAGCTGAGCTATTTCCTTCGCAATGTTGTCTTGCAGTCGGTTGATTTCTATTAGCAAGGGGTCTTTATGTCCATCCTTCTCCCTCCGTTTCTTCCGCAGCAATTCCCCTGAACCAAACAAATTAGTTGAATACAAAAGGCAAGAAAATTATGTTCACAAATGCAAAATGATTGTAATCATTGTTATTAAATATCATGGCTCATCAGAATGTCACCAGGGGTGCACCACTGAGTCTAAAGCAAGCTAGTTGCCTATACTCATATATGATGCACCTAATAAATTCTGGGATGCATATAATAAAAAGGAAGCAAACCCATTTAATCCATCTGACTATATAATATCAAACTCTATTTAAAAATATCCCAGGAAAAATGGGGCATGAGAAGAAACAGTACCTTGTTGTTTTGAAAGTCTGTTTAATTCAGCTCTGAGATAATGTAGTTTTTTTTGCCGTGCTTCTTGTTCAGCTTTCAACTTCTCAATTTCCTCTACTACCTAAAAAAGCGTTGAAGAAAAATCTCGTATAAACCACTATCTTCTTTAGCAAAAGGTTAAAACAACATTGAAAAAATCAGTGTGGTATGGTACATTGCACCTTGAATTCAAGTGATTTGAATAATCACTTTCAAGTAATCATTTGAATAATTGTGGAAATTTAGCTTTTATCAGAGATAGCATCTCTTTTGTTATATGTTGCATCTGTGTTTATTTTTCAGTGAAGGGTCACATCAAAGTCCTTTAGCATTAACTATCTTCTGCTGGGAAACACTGTGGCATATAAGTAAATTTTAAGTAAGTCACAAGTCATGCAGGATAAAGTGCATTTAAACCTATTGAAATTAATGAACTGAATATCTGCAATCATATTTGGAATCAATCAATTCCAACACAGTACAAATATTTTAAGCATTTTAAAATATGTATTAAATAACTCAATGTATTATATTTGAGTTATAATTTTACAATTTGTAAATGGTTTTCTTTACTACTGAATGAAAAACAAGCAACAATATAAGGACATTATAATATAGCGTCATAATATTGGAAGAGACCAACATTCTATTCAGAAACCTACTGATAGCCAGTGCAGTTCTCACAGCAGAGATTAAATATGGCAGTATCATGACTAACTATCCAATGTGCCTGCTACTGTGTTCAGGAGCAGCTTAGATTTTCAAATAGTCTTCAAGTAACCATAAGATAAGCAAAGTTCAAAAAGAAAATTTAATGAAATTGAAAAATATACACAGATGTTCATCATTTTAGGCTTTTAAATTATATATTTAAAATAGATATATTTTTTAAAGTACCCACCTTTTGTTTCCTAGAAGCTCGGTTTTTTTCATCAGATATTCTTTCCGTGGAACCTCTTAATGAAGGTCGAGAGAACGGAGAATGTAATTTTGAATAAGGATCTACTGTGGGGATTTGCACAAGCACAGAATCATCTCTTTTGCTATTAGAAGTCCCTTTGGCTGTGGAAACTGTCTCAATAACTCTAAGATTGGGCCGTGTTGGATTTGGTGGTACCGTTAGTGTGACAAGCCCATGCATATCTGTAAGCCCAGGGTCAGTCTGCTGAGCATACATGGGCCAGCCTGAAGCTGCATAAGCCATGTAGTGTCCATACGCATCATAGCCAGGAGGGGCCATTGTAGGAGAAGGATAGTTTTGCGGTAATGGTGGTGTAGGAAAAGGTGAAAAGCTTGAAAGTCTGTATTGGGGAACAGAGGTGGGGGTAGGTGACATATTAGGAAGAGATGGTGGAGCTGATGGAATTAGAGACATTGGAGGAACAGATTGCTCAACTGTGTCAACAGGATTATCTCGTCCTAACATTTTGCTTGTATTGTGGTCAGATTTTGTAGATAATGGATAAGGAACAGTAGGTGAGAGAGAGTGCTTCTGGTTTGATTCTGGAGAATAAGTTTCACTGCGATTGCGACGCCTCTCCCACATTTCTGCTTTGGAAGAAGCTCCTGAATAACGATCAGGTGAATGAGATGACTTTTTTCCATGAAGACGTTCCTGAGTACGAGCAGCAAGTTTACCTATTTCGGCCACTCCAATGTCAAGACCAATAGTTTTAAGCAAATCATGAATCTTCTCATACTCTGGTCTGGATTCATCTAATGGTTCTGAATTTACAGATGGAGGTGGAGAACCTACTTTTTGGCTTACTGATTCCTTCCCATCACTCAATGTTAGTTTTTGAGTAGATGGAGAGCTGGTATTACAATCCTCCTCCTCCTCCTCCTCATCATCATCACCATAAAGAAATTTCTCTTCATCCTCAAGATCATCAGGAAAACTTTTTTTTTCTTCCGTATTATTATCTGCCATTGCTCCCAAAATGCCCAGAATACGTGAAAAGCCACTTCCATCCTGGCTGGCTCTTTCATGAGGAAGCAGGAAATCACCAGGGTGGTCAACAGACTCTGATGTTGACTCATGAGGCTCTGTTTGTTTTAGAAAATTTTCAGAGTTTTGTTCAGCAGGAAGTGTACTTTGATGTGGACCAGAAAATGGTCTCCAGTCAGGCTCACGGCCTTGAGTTTCCTTACTGGTAGACTCTGCAACTGCACTTTTGTTGAATTGTTTGAGGAAATTCTCTACCTCCAATGAAAAAGGAGCAACACTACCACGCTGGGGCAAAGAAGAATGATTTGAAAGAAGTGGGGGCTCTTTAATAGAAGAAGAACTGCTAGAAAAGACTTCAGGCTAAAAAAGAAAAAAAATTATCATTTGTTACTGCATTCCAGAATTAATGTAATCAATAGTCCATTTCATAAGACAACATCTTCATATAGTTGGATTATAGTCAATAGTTTAAAATCCAAACAGGAAATTATCAAAAGAAAATGAGAGTGAAAAACACATACTGGTAAATATTTCAAAATATTATGTGGTCACAGTACTCTATAGATATTGCACAATTATATCTGAGTCTATATCTAAAGTCACAACATTTATTTCTTTGATAAAAATGCTCAGAGAGCTACAAAAAGTGGTAAGTATCAGATGAACAATGGTAACATGCTCTAATGCAGTCCAATATATTTTGCAATGTTGTGCTGCTAAGAAATAAAACTAATAATACAACAAAAATAGTGGCAGTTTGACTGTCTTGGTAATAATCATCCCTCTCCCATTAAGGACAAGTGAAACGATTGACTTGCCCTCAATCATACTTACACAAAACCAATTTTAATTGATTTGGTGATCCTCATGCTTATACCTTGATTCCTGATTATTTGGGATCCCCCCCCCCCAATAATTAACCTTGGCTTCAACATCATGGCTTCAAAATCTAAGGGAATGGTTTGAACAAAACTCAACAGTACTTTTTCGTGCGGCTGTTGATAAAAAAAGGATTGCCATGATCGCCAATGTCCAATGACAGATATGGCACAAGAAGAACAATAATTAAAAAGGAAAAAAGCTTGTGCGAAAGGAATAGCAAAGGAGGAACATAGTGACTAAGAAGAGTGAAAATGTTAAAAGGCTGCTTTGAGGAATTACACTTCCAAAGACATTTTAATACTAAATTTGCATTTCAAAATCAAAATCAAAACTTAGATAGTTGCAAAAAAGACCTTAGCATATTAATATACTTGCTAAGATAGATTGGGCCCCACTTTGACACTCTTTCACCACTCTGAAGACATGGTTCTGCCAATGGGCCTGGGGACTCCAGAATGATATGGAGCGCATTAAGTAGCTCATTTGATCACTGTTGCCAAGGGATTATTGCTTTTTATATATATATTTTGCATTGGAATTTTATCCTTGTAAACCACTCAGAGTCACTGAGAATGAATTGGGCAGCCATATAAATTTTCATAAATAAATAAATAAAAATTAACATCTACTATTTTTATTTTGTTCTCTAAAAATTAAGACAAGATATTTAGATTTTACCATATGTCCATGACTATAAGTAAAGTACATTTTTTTGGGCAGAGTTTTATGTCTGTTTATAGAATAAACAGACCCTCAATTAATAATTAACATTATTTAATTTGGCTTACACGGTAGTCCTTGATTTATAACCGATCATTTAACAACTGTTCAAAATCAGGACCTTGGGGAAAAAAGTGGCTTACTCCCTGTAATCACAATTCTGACTGCTGTACCTTCCCCGGAGTCACGTGATCACAATTCAGGTTCTTGGCAAGTGGTCACATGATTGCTAATTGCAACTTTTTGTTTTTGTCAATTCTGGGGGAAAAACACCCAGTAGGGAAGCTGTATTCACTTAATATCTATGTGATTTGTTTATAGCCGTACGATTTGTTCAGCAAATGCTTTAATTTACTTAATCACCACCATAGAAATTGTCATAAAATCAGGTCCAACGTGACTTACAACCATGAGTTACAATGGAAATTCCAGTCCCAATTGTGGTTGTAAGTCAAGGACTACATGTACTTTTTTTTTTTTCAAATATGCCACCTAAAATTAACATCAAATTTAATCTTTCTTTCTCTATTGTATCTTATCAAGGAGCCTGTGGATTCTGCCTAAAATAGATTAATTTAAATATTTTATAATTTTAAAAAACAAAATCAATCTGAAACCAACACAATATCAGGAGTTCTTGAACAGCCTATGTCTATAATCTCCTTCATTGTAGAAGATAGAAAATGTTTGTCCCACAATCACAACCCTTGAATCAGAATCTGTTAGATACTTCTATATTCTAGATAATGTAGGCCAACTTAGAAAAGCCAGAAGAAAGGTGATTCTCAGTGCCTTTTTTTATGAAAGTGAATAACTAAACAAGTGAATTCAAGGGGAAATGTCTTCACACTTCCAAAACTTTTATTACAATGGGGAAGAAAGCTTCCAAGAAATTAACCACTTGCAATATATCTAATGTAGAGTCATGAAAGTTAATCAAACTGATTAATCTAGAACAAATTATGACATACTAAGATATATGTTAATTTAAAATGTGTTACATTTGTTATTGTTTTTATTTTGCTTTTGTTAGCCATATTCTTCAAATTGGCAGCCATATAGAATGAATGAATGAATGAATGAATGAATGAATGAATGAATGAATGAATGAATGAATGATCATGAAACAGGTGACTCATAGGAGGATTCCACCATATAGAAAAACCAGATTGGATCTTTGGAAAAAATTATCTGTCTTAATTTTTAGTAATTCGGTCCCTACAAAGTGTAACTTCCACTTCTTTAAAACTTATCAGATCATGCTGAAAAGACTACCTTTTAAAGAAGCTTTTTCAACGAAGCCCAACCATTTAATTGCTATCTCTCTGCTGTGCTAATAGGAAGAACATGGCTTTCTTGGCTGCCATTCTTATATCCATAAATTCATACTCAAAGTTTCTGGATAATTTCTGGATGACAATATAGTCTGGAAGAAAACCTAAGGGAATAGAAAACTTTCTATTCGGCACTTTCTTCCTTTTCTTCACCATGACCTAACTATTTTAGGATATCCTGCAAGACTAAAGCAAATCAATACAGTATTTTCTTTCCCAATTTTCTCCTTCTACTATGGTACTTCTTTCACAGCCTTGACACTCTGATCTGAAGGCTAATAGAAATCACTAATCAGTTCACCACCTAAGCCTGATTAACCACAACTTTATGTTAAAAACTAACATTTGTGTATAGACAATTTGTTCTTCGTATGTCTAATAACCTAAATTTGTTTATTGCAGGGCCCAATGGGAAACCAATCAAAATTCTGGACTGCACATACTAATACCGGTATATATTTAGTTTCCTACTTTTTATTAAGTGAATTGATGTACATGTTAGTAAATTAATTATATAAAATTACATGAATCTATAGATAAGATTCATTTCAATTAGAATATACGACAATTGCCTTAATGTTTTTTCTTTTCATTTTGCATATAAAATAAAATATTTTTTTGCAAAATATATAATCTGACATCCGATTTTATTTAAACAGGCTGACATCTGTTCAGCCCCTCCACAAGGTGAAAACCGGGATGTAATACTTAATGCGACAGAATAAGAAAATATAACGTGGGCCATTCTATGAAGATCTATAATGAAAATAGGGTACCATATAATGTGCTGCTCCTCCATCATTCTGTAGCAGATAGCACCAAATTGTGGAGTCACATAGAAAGCCCATGAGGGATCCTTGGGGCTCTCTAAGCTTGCTTGTTTTCTTGCGGTCACTAGCACTGATGTTACCTAGTATGGGTAATTGAAAGTCTGCAAGAAAACAAGCAAGTTCAGAGAGCACCAAGGACCCTTATTTTAAACCAGAGCTACATATATTCTCCTTTATTGATAGAAAGCCCATCTCTGTATTTTCAGAATATCAACATAAAAAAGCTCCAACATCCAGTTAGTTAATAAATATCCAGGGTTAAAGTTAAAAAGAAAAAATGGGAAGCAGATCAGAAAACAAAGGAAACATAAACACACGAAGGCCAGTTTCCCCTCTCTCCACTGTAGAAAATGGACCTTCACAGTAAATCCAGTATTATATTTCCAACAATGAAGAAGGGCAGCCTATAGTGGGACATACCAAAATAATTGCACTGTGCAGGAATATGCAGAATGCAATCACACAACCTATCCTCTGAAAGATACATTTGCCAAAGAAAACAGAAATTTGAATATTCAGTTTGCAATGTCTCAGGAAACAAAAACCATGTGCATGTGTCTGCTTGGAAGCCATCAGTAGAGAACGCAGATGAGACTACTGCATTCCTAGTTGAAGGTGCCATTATCAACTCAAAACAGAAACACACTAACACTTCTAAGCCAAACTCATATACAGACACTTAAAATGACACAAAGCAGTAATCAAATGCTGTTGGGAAACAGATCTTAGCAGGGTGGATAAAAATCAATGATTTTTTTTTAAAAAAAGCACAATTTAAAATCAGATTTTTTTATTGAAATCAGATTTAAATTAGTTTTTTTAACTTAAATCAGATTTTTTTATTTTTATCAAATTTATTTTAATAAAATACTTTTGGAGTGAAGATCTATCTAAAGATTGTTTTTTATTTAATATACATTAATAATTTAATTTATTCAGCATGAAATGGAGCATAGTTATATAGCATGAGGCTGTATATTCTGCCATATTGGAGCTGTTGTTGAGTCAACAGCGGGTCAGAGGAGTTGCTGCAGGAAAGAAATGACAGTCGCCCTTTAAAAATTATGATTTAAATCGAGTTGATTTAAATCAAGCCTTTTTACTAGTGATTTCAATCATGATTTAAATCCACCCTGGATCTTAGTAGTTCCTCATATGTTCAAAGTCATTCCTCCTCCAGGATGACTTTTTCAGGAGGTTTGGGTCAAAAATATGTTTAATCACAGCTCCTGACTTTTGTGAAAGATGTAAACTAAGAGCAGAGAACAGAAGTTATTACACAAAGATTCTTCTTTGAAGACAAAGTTCTAAATCTCAGACTTCCTTGAAGAGATGACAGCCCTCAAAAGTATTACTTTTGAACACAGATATGGCATCAGAAATTTGACAGTTCCAGAGTCGCTGTAGCTAGAATGAAGGACTGCTGAGGGGAAAACAATTGGAAAAAAACACAACTAGTAGTAGTTACTCCTTCTGTCATGACTGTAGTGGTTAGAAAGGGCTTACCCTTGCCAAAACAAACAGTACAGAGAAAAAGTAAAATAGAAAGCAATAGACTCCTTGGCAAAGCTTTGGGAAAATGCTATTTTTGTAAGAACCAAAAAGTCTGACTCTTAGAACAAGTGAAAAGACCAATCCACTATGCAATCCATTTAGGGAAATGACTTAACACACAAATGATGTCTAGAACTTGTTCAAGTCCTGCATACATCTTCAGCCTGGCCCACCAACATTTGGGATTGCTGCTCCTGGCATGCCACTTAATGATTATGTGAGACTATCAGTGTGGAAAAAGTTGCACAGCCTAGATTCCTGCATACTAGCTTATCAATTCCTTATGATAGTTTTATGAATTCCAAAAGTAATCAGTTGTACATTTTGAATCATACAAATATAAGTCAACAATACAACCTTTGAAATATATACTTTACATATATATTATTTGATAAATCTATTAATATATACTTCTATCATCATTAAAAAAACTTTTTGTGTTTAGCAAACGTGTAAACATATGTTTGGAGAGTATGAGTGGCAAAAGCTCCCACTTTTCATCTTGCAGTTCAGTAAAAATTTAGATGGGCATTTTTTTCCATTCAATCTTTTTGTAAACAAGGAATCTTAAAAGCTCATATATTTTTCTGTGAATTTTGTAAGGCTAACAAAGGCATTTCCCCAATGTCCCCAAGCATATTGAAACTGAACAGGTAGCCATTAAAAAAATAATATATTCTTTTAAGTTCTAAAATGTAGTTCACTGTGTATCACTAACTTTAGAAATACTTCTCTAGGATGATCATAATTGCTTAAAGACTTACAGACTGTTGCCCTAAATTTTAAAACACGTCAAGTCCTTATTTAGATCAAATAAAATCAAGCCGTTAATTATAAATGATTCATACTTAAACTAATAATCTTCAATGGCATTTTAGAGAAACATAACTAACACAATTTCAAACTAACAGAGTTGAAATTAAGCATTAAAGAGATTTTTAAAAATTGCAACTGATAGTAACAAAAATGGAGTGGAGTGGTGTCAAACCTGTACAGAATGATCATCCACACGTTTCTTCAAAATAGATTTTTTGGGCATTGCTGGTGCCTCATCAGGTCTATAAAGGTACTGAGGTTCAGACGATTTCGTTGGATTAGTTGAACTAGTCATCACATAGCTATTGCCAGATAGTTCCCGACTCAGATTTCTGCTCAGTTCCTCTTCTTTTCTTTTCCTTCTAGCACTTTCAAGTTCGCGAAAATCTTCATTGATATATATTGGACTTGGACTTCTACTAAAACTTCGTTTACGGTACTTTCGTGTTCCTGACAAGAAACCCTGTGGTTCCATGTTCATATCAAGTAATCTGTCATTTCTGTCATATCGAGGTCGTTTTGGCTCCCGCCCTCTATCATCCAATGCATATAAGGATTTTCTATGTAGTTCACCTTCCCTATCAGCTTCTCTTGGTTTATCCTCATAGTTCATGCCATAGTCTGATTGATGGAGGAAAACATCCCTATTGTGATAGTCCTCATCATGTCTCCTACTGTAAGGGCTAGCCTGATTTTCCTCACGAGAAGAATATCTCTCAAGGCTCCGACGACGTAAAAGGCTTCTGCTAAATATTGGTCCATCAGCCAAATCATCCCTGATTAGAGAGATACACAAATTATAACTTCATTCACAAATTTGAATACTGTCAGTTGAACAGAAATGTTGAAAAGCAGCCTGCTTATGCATAATCATTATTTTTCCTTTCAACCTAATGCAGTCAGTTCCAAAAGTTTTACAACTTTTGCAACAGGTACATTTCCTATCACAAACCAAGGTATTTTGTTCTCAATTAAATAACTTCTAAAACAAATTAATGAACAGAGAAAGATAAAACAAGCATAACCTGCAAATCCATTCACTAAATTCTGTATTTAATTCAGGTTATTTTATTGCTCTCCTCCCATCTATACCTTTTATTTTCTTTTAATCTATTTTGGAATGTCTGTCAGCCATCAAGGCAGATTTGTCAAGAGAAGGAGAGGAAGAAATCCATTGGTGGGTGTTATTCCATCTATTGGACATAACTTACATTGCAGGGTGGGTGTTAGATCTTACATAAAGTGTGCACCAGAATATCTTGATTTTCAAAGATTGCATAAAAAGGTATTAGCAGAGAAATAAGAAATGTTACTGTTCTTTTGCCAGATATAATACTGAAATATCAGTTCATGATGAACAGCAACACTTCATTCATGTCTATCGCTTAAAGTAGTTTTATATACTTTCACTGTAAGAATGATATAGTAGTGTACATAATAGTCTTACTTGTTTGACCTGCACCATTGTTTCTCAGTTAATGGAAAAATTCATTTAATCAGTTTTTTCTCTTGTTGATTTAGAATCACCTTCCATTTAAATTAGCCCATCCTGTGCCATAACAAACTACTGAGGTTCTACCATCACATGCTAGAAGTCAGAGAATATAGATGAAAATAGCAATGACATTTTGTTATGCATTCTGCATTGATTCATCAAACACAGTGCTCCTGAGCCTGCATTTGTTGCCTGCCTGCCTTACTGAGTTAAGTTCTTCTTATCACAACTGTTCACTGACTACATTATTTGTTCACAACAACTTTCCTTTATAATGAACGGGGGAAAAATTCTATCAACCTATATTTGATCTCTCTCCCTAGTATATGTGGTTTTTTTTTTTTTTTAAGTTCAAAGAGAGCCAAAGGATAAATTTTCCAGCTACTTTTCGATATATGATGGATTTGGGAACTATTGGGAATTCCTACTGGCAGTTTTTAATCAAAATCCACTCATAACTGCTAAGTACGTGTTTAATCTCATTTTTCTACATACTACAAAGCTACCAAACTACTTTGACACCTTTCCCACAGCAATATTGGAACATGTATATATATTCTAAGACCGGGATGGCGAACCTATGGCATGCATGCCACAGGCGGCATATGGAGCCATTTGTCAGGGCATGCTCATAGAGTCGTCTTTCGTCCTCCGTAGCCTACATGGAAGCCTCCTGAAGGTCCCTAAAGGCTCTGGAGGACTAAAAACGGCCTACGGACAAACCAGAAGTGATGTCCAATTTGCTCATAGGGTCGTTTTTGGCCCTCCAGAGCCTTCAGGGAAGCCTCCAGAAAGCCCCTGAAGGGCTAAAATTGGTCCTATGAGCAAACTGGAGGTCCATTCCTGAATTTCCAGTTTGCCCATAGGGCCGAGATTTTTTTGCACTCTGGAGGCTTCAGGGAAGCTCCTGAAGCCTCCGGAGGGGGCGGGGGAGGCTGTTTTCGCCCTCTCCAGGCTCCTATAAAGCTCTAGAGCCTGGGAAGGGCAAAAAAAGCATGCCAAAAATGGGAGGAGCGCTGATCATGCGCACTTGCTCATCCTAGAATGAATCTATTTGTATTTATTTATAAATTTCTACACCACTCATCTCACCTACTACATAAGTAAGTTAAGTGGGAGTCCTCCTGGACCCACAGCTGACTTTTGACCACCATCTGTCGGCTGTGACCAGGGGGGAATTTGCCCAGGTTCGC